GTGTTCTTTTCCTTTCAGTGTTTTAATCATACTACCTTTGTGATACTAGGGATTGAACTCAGAGCCCTCCCACTATGCAACATCCCCAGTCCTGTTGGGTTTCTTCATTTGCTTGTTTATGACAGGTCCTCACCATGTCACTCAGTTGCCTGGGCCAGGCTTGAACTTGTAACCCTCTGCCTTGGCCTCTCAGAGTGCTGATATTACAGGCGGTTACCGTGGTGCCTGCTTTTGATCATCCTTCTTATGCCATACTTTGGAGGCTGGTGTAGATAGCCTCGGGGAGTTTTCCTTTCACATGCAGATCCACTTCTTGCCCACCTGGATTGGTTTTCTATCAGCAGGCTGAATTCTACAAACACAGATGCAAGTATCCGGGCCCCAGATTTTTAACTAGAAGGGGGAACAGGAGACAGTATGACGCAGAAAGAAATTACAAGGAAGGTTGCCAATTGTGAAAACTTCCAGGTATAACTCAGCCTAAAGGTGGCCTGTCCCACAATTCTCTGACCCTAGCAACTGAGAAGAATCACCCTGCAGAACCGGAAAGCAGTCCAACACCTAATGCATTTGTATATAGTGTATTAGAAGGAGCCAACAATGTGATCACTTTGGCTGATAAACATTTATCTTTGAGAAGTGGCAAAGCAACAGTACTCTTTGCAATCAATTCATTAGCCCTGACTGTCTACAAGAGAAGGGCATTTGCCCAAAGGAAAAGATCAGCCAGGAAATGCACGGATACAGAGTATAGAACAAGAAGAGTATAGAAGAAGAAGCCCCAAAATATGGGTTTTCCAACTATTCCTTTGTCTGCTGGCTTTGTTACTTTTGTTATTTCTGTTGCTGTTGTTTCCATCTGGTTTTGAGTTTCATCAGGCTTGGTCATGACCATCAGAATTGCTCTAGAGACAAGGCAGTTTTTATGTGCCATATGATTTGCACTCATTCGCTTTTTAGCACAGTTCTTCAAGTTACTTGAAGGCGACCTAAACACTGCCTTACCTCCAGCTGGCCCCTGCCGGTGCACAGGTCAGTGTCCACTTCCTTTAGGCATTCCAGAGACTTTAAATAATTTAAAATGAGCTGGGCGTGGTGGCGCACGCCTGTAATCTCAGCACTCAGGAGGCTGAGGCAAGAGGATCAATGTGAGTTTGAGACCAGCCTGGGCTACATGGTGAGTTCCAGGTCAGTCTCAACTACATAGTGAGACCCTGTCTCAAAAAACTAATAATTTAAGATGAAACTATTCCCTTGTATGAAACTTGGATGAGGGACTTAGCAAAAGATACTCTGAAATTGCAAGCCAGGACAGTCTCGTTTGGTAGGCTGGAGAGGAGGAGACCCCGTGCCGTATGAACGCACAGAAGACAAAGACGCACTACAGCATCTTTAACTGTCTAGAATCAACTTCTGCTTCCAACGGGGGTGGAGCAACTACAACAGGACCAGCCGTTCGGCCAAGGGCAGTAACACAAATGAATATAGGACAGGACTCTTTTCAGGAGATGAGAGGCAGCAGGCTCTGATCCCAAGGGGTGGGGCCAGGCAGGGAGCCCTACTTGGCCCCTCCTCAGCCTGGGTGTGGGATGGTGAATCCCAAGTGCAGCTCGACAGCCCCACTACACTGCGCAGCAGAGAGCGCAGTGGGAGCTGGCTGTGGGGGACACGGAGGCCAGCAGAGCTTCAGAGAAGGAAGGAGCCCAGGGGCCGGCTGGGGAAGCACTCCAAACTCCCCAAAAGTGACAGCTGAAGGGGTCAGGGACACACTCGGGCTCCGGTCTGGAGCAGCTCTCTCTGGGCTGAGGGTGGAACGGAGCCACTGGGGCCACAGAGGTGTGGGAGGCAGGAATTCTGACCAAGTCTCAGCTGACAGGTCCAACAGAGCACCTGTGTGCATTCTGCCACGACAGAGGCCACTGTCTGGGAGTAAGGACGTTCCCAGGGCAAGGGCCACTCTACCCCTACCCCACAGAGCCCAGTGAGGAGCTGGTATGTTAGCAGCCCCAACAAAGCACTCAGCCGGGTGTGGCAGCATGCTGGCAGGCTGAGGCAGGAGGGTTGCAAATCCAAGCCCAGACTGGGCAACTCAGCAATTGAAGCTCAAATGAGAAAAATAAAAGCCCCGGAGATGCAGCTTCATGAGCTGGCCCTGAGCTCCATCTCCAGTGCCAAAAAGCAAAGCAAAGCTCAACACTCTTTAAAGAAAGACAACATCAATCAGATTCTTTAAAGAACTCAGCTGAAACGCTCATGACCACAGATTACTGGACTTGTGAAGAGGCAGGAAAGTGTGAACCACGAGCATCAACAAGAGCGGAGCACGGGACACCTGGATGGCATGCTCAAGAGCAGCAGGGCTCAAGTAGACATGCACAGGAATCTCACTACAGGGACAGACATGATACATGCGAAAGAGAGAAATCTCAAGGAAAACACCTAGAAACTTTTTTTTTGGTACTGGGGATCAAACTCAGGTCCTTATGCTTGTGAAGCAGACGCTGGAACCACTGAGTTAAATCCCCATCCCTAGAAACTCTTTTTAAAAAGGTAAAATTCCTATACCAAAAGTTGCAGCATCTGAATTGAGGCTTCACTGGGTAGACAGCTGTTGGGAGCCACAGTGAGTCAGCCATGGTGACCACCACTGGAGACTGGTGCAGGGCTGTCTAGATCAGCCCTAAACCAGAAGGAAAAGCAGTCAGAGTTGGGGGCGTGTGGAGAGCTTCCTTCATTATGAGCCAGGGCGGTGACGGCCTCGCTCTCTCATTTCATCCCTGTGTAGCCCAGGGCCACTCTGGCCATAGTGGTAGCTTTGTGCAAAGTAGGAAAGGTGCCGTCCTCCGGGAGCGGACAGCGCCTCAGAGCGTGGCCAGGGCACCGCCCTGCAGTGTCTCCCACGCCGGCTGCACCGCGCGGGGCCCCTCTGCTTGCTCGGGCGCAGCAGCTCCAGCCCTGCGGCAGGAGCATGGTGCGGTTGTAGTTCCCTCCTTCTGACCCAGAAGCCGGGCACTTGCATTAATTAAGTGATGTGTTTGGAGTGGAGGAGATGAGGTTCAAACCCAAGCCGTCCTATCTCAGAGTCTTGGATAATTTTAATTAAAACCCCGTTATGGTTTAGCCCTAAGGTATCTCCCCAAATCTCATTGTTCGGAGTGAGGCTTTCAGAAGGTGATGGACTCGTGAGGCTCTAACTTCATCTGTGGGTTAATCTACGATGCGATCACAACTGGGGTGATGGAAATGTAGGAAGTGTGACCTGGGGATGGCGTCTGGTTCCTCCCTCGCCCTCTGCTTCCTGGATGCCATGAGGTGAGCCCCTGTCCTCCACCAGGCCCTTCTGCCCTGGTGTTTCTGCCTCAGAGCCAGCCAGCCATGGACTGGAACCTCGGAAGCCGTAAACTAAGAGAAGCCTCCCCTCTTGAGTTGCGGGCATCAGGTATTTTGTCCCAGCGATGGAAGGCTGGCTAAAGTAACACCTTGGAGATGGCTTCTCATCAGTGCCCCAAATGCACTCAGGAGAGCCGCACATCCCAAAGCAGATCCACCAGCCTGGCTCTGCTGTCAGGTGTGCAAAGGGAGGAAGGAAAAGCCAGAGAGATGTAGGGTTATAGATTCTTAGGGCGAAGTTTTATCCCCAGAGTTGTGACAAACACAAGAGAAAGAAATAATGATAATTTAATTTATCTCAGTAATAAACTTATAAATAATTCATTGCTCTTAAACATCATTGCATGTGTGTTTAGTACACACTGGCGTTCTAAGAATGCAGTCTGCAGGTAAAGCCTGGGACCGTTACTGGGGTGGTGGACTGAGAATGTCCCTCAGAGGCCGCATGGGCTCAGGGATGAGGATGACTCATTGGGCTGCCATAGGGGTGGAGCCGTGCAGAAGAGGTGTTGCTGGGGCGACTGGGAAGGTGTGTCCCCCTCCCGGGCCCCTCCCTTCTCATTTCCTGCCCCAGGTGAGCAGCTCTCCTCCCCCTGCACCCGGCCATCTTCTCCCAGGGAAGCCAGACCATGAGCCCGAGTGAACCTCCCCTCCCGGGAACTGTGTCACAGTAACAAGTGAGCAAGACAACCACACTGTCCCCACCTTTACCAGAAGGTACGCACTCCTCCACCCGTGGACACCCACGGCGCACACAGCACTGAGGGGCCACACCACCAGGCCAGCCCAGGACGGTCTGCTTCCCAGGCCACACAAGGCACAAGCAGGCTGGGCAGTGCAGAGGGGAGCCAGTAACCCTGTCAGCGCCCACACCTAACGGGGAATCTCCGGGCACGTGACTCTCCTTCAATTTTGACTGCACGGCAGGTGTGACTAATGTGCAACTAGGATTTTCCCTGCAGAAAATAAGAGGTGTGTAATAAAATACTGGCTGTAAAAGGGAACAATGAGGAAGAATTAGCTCTAGAGAAAGAAGACGGGTGGTGTTGAGTTACAACACAATTCGAAGGGCTGAGGACAGTGTTGCTTCGAAAACGCAGATGTTTTGAGGGGCGCTGTACCTCACAGCACTACTACATTTCCAAATCCAATCTGCTCTCCATGCCCTGCTGACCACGATGAACAGAGGTGTCTGTTCTGAAGGAAAGGCTGGCCCCGTCTCCAGGAACACCGACCCTCACAGGTCGGTGTGCACAAGGGCGAGCTGCACGTCCAATAAACGCAGGCCTGGGCTGTCCTCCCACATACACGCCCCGCGGCAGCCTTCCACACAGGCTGCTTCTCACACTTGCCACACACACACACACACGGGCCTCCTGGACGCCTGGCCAACACAGGTCCATCCAGCAGACCTGGGAGGGGGCCTGGACACCCACATTTCCAGCAAGCTCCACAGATGCCCACGGCTGCAGACACACAGGCCAGTGTTGCTCACTCTGGGACAAAAGATCTTGGAGCCCGGAGTGGACAGTGGAGGGCTCAGTCCAGCGCTGGGAACCTTTCCCTGGATGCTATCGCACACAGACAGGGCTCAGGGAGCAGAGCCCATGGATAACACTGACCAACCCCGGGTGTCTAGGATGCAATGTGCTGGCTTCACCACAGACCCAGGAGATTTTAATTACACAGGGATCTACCAGCAATAAGCAAATTCCTAGATTCTGGCTGCAAAATGAACAACTTAAACCAAAAGTTCTGATCTCTAGGCACCGGCATCCCTGGCAGAGGCTGAGGCATCCATCTCTCTGGCAGCGAAGTCTTTGTACATGTCTGGAATAGAGATGTGGTCCTAACAGAATGGGCAGAAGGGCCTTGGACAGCTCAAATCCTAGCAAGTAAAGGTTTGAGACCCTCTGTCTATAGACAAAGATATGATCAAAAAATAAGGCAAATGTCCGGATTTAAAAGGTAAGCACAGTGGAAGACACAGGGCCATTAACCTCACACAGAACACTCATCGCACCCTCCTTGCCACGTCCAAGGCAGCTCTGGAAGTTCTTTCCTGTCTTCAGTTGTGCTGTCCTGGCTGCCTCAATGTCCTGAATCCATTCAAACTGTTTTTACCCTTTGTGGTCATTTTGGCTTTCGGGAGGAGCCAGGGCCAGTGAATGAGAATGAAGACACAGTGAAAGGTTTTATGAGCTGCCTTCCTGCTGGGTGGCACTCAGCCTTCACTGTATTTTTTAACAAAACTGCTTCCGAAAGTGGCAAAAAAGATGGGCTAAGGAGTTCAAAGCAAGGGGGGAGCACTGTGAGGGGTACTGACTGTAATGTATCTTTTACAAATTTAAACATTCACTGTGAATTCTGATCACAGTCACATGTACCACTGTTTAAAGTGTGCCTTTGACAAACGTTCGTGTGAACAGACGCCGCTTAGTTATGCAGCCTGTGCATGTTCCCATTCAAGTTGGAGGCAAACACGTGCCACTGGATCATCGCCGTTTGGACACTGGGGGGCTGGTTTTCTAGAACACGCACTAGCAGCAGCCTGATTCAGTACCGAGAAATCCAACCCTTTGACGTCTCAGAGAACACATGGCATGCAAGTCATTTTTAAATACACACGTGTATGTATTTAAGGGGAGTCATGCTCACGTTCCAACTAGCTGGGATTTTCATTTACAAATCCAGAACGAGAGTGCTGCTGAATTTAACTCAGACGTTTCAGGGAACTCGGCACCATGTACAGGCTCTCCAGAGACCATAGGTGCTCGCTAGCCAGCGACCGGACTGACACCAGAACCGAGGGCCGTGTGGGCCCACTAAAAGTTGACAGTCTTGGCAGGCTTCACCATCTCGAGTTCGGCAGACAGCCAGCGGTAAGTGCGATGGACCCGCAGCACCTCGATGGCTTTGAGCTCCAGCGGCGTTGCCTGGACACCAAGGTCCTCAAGGCCGGGCAGGTGGGGCAGCAACTTGTCTGTGATGTGCATCTGTGAAGGGACAAAGGGCCACAGAGGATGCCGAAAACAGGCCAGACAGTGTGCCGTCCTCGCAGCCTTCAGACATGCCAGCGGCCAGGGCTCACACGAGACCGGGCACTCTCAAGGACCGCATGGCGAGGCTTTCTCTGGGGGTTCCAGTGATTGAACCCAGGGCTTCGCCACAGAGCTACATCCTTAGCTTGTTTTCTGAGACAAGATCTCACTAAGTCTCTGGGCAGGGTGGCGCACACTTGTAATCCCAGCACTCGGGAGGCTGAGGCAGGAGGATCGCTGTGAGTTTGAGACCAGCCTGTGCTATATAGTGAGTTCCAGGTCAGTCTCAACTACGTAGTGAGACCCTATCTCAAAAAAAACCAAAAAATAAAATAAGATGTACATTTAAGAGAAAAAAAAAAATCTCACTAAGTCATTAAATTGCCCCAAAGAACTCATGATCTTCTTGCCTCAGCCTCCCAGAGTGCTGGGATTACAGGCAGATACCATCCTGCTCAGCGTATGTTATTTTGATATCAGAACTGGATAAAGGTAGAACACAGAAAAAAAAAAAAAAAAAAAACCCAAAGTGAAACCAGCAAGCGTTGGCCTAGATGCAGCACCGCCACTGGGCCAGGACACGACACAGGGGGAGTGAGTCGCCCAGGCCGCATTCAGGCTGAGGTGCTACAGCTACCAGGAGCCCGGGGCCAGGCAACTTGGCTCAGGAGAGCAGGGGGCTCAGGAGGGAGCCAGGTAACGCAGGGAGAACCCAGCCTGTGCTCCTGCGCCGTCTGTGCTCCTGCGCCGTCTCTGCCTCAGCTGCCAGCTTCTGAATGACAGGGACGGTGCGGCGCCTGCCCCTTGCCTAGGCAGGGGTAACCCGGTAACTGTTCTCAGTCCAGCGCCCCTCTGGGCTGAGGGAAGAGTGACCTGAGATCTGGAGCCTGGCTCACTGCAGGAGGGATGGGGGGGCAGCAGAGAGTGGAGAGAGGAAGGGGCTTGGGTGGGAGTGGGGAGAACACACATATGTGTTCTGCGCCTGGGAGCTGCAAAGTCCCAGTATTATCACAAACATTTCCACGGGAGGGTCAGAGAGGAGTGGGAAGATCTGGCATCCACCTTGACCACTGCTGGCCAATAAAGAGGCCACAGCCATATGCAGTGACTGACATCAGAGTTGGAATCAATTCAGATAAAGCACAAGCTTCACGTCTGCAGTCATACTAGCACACGTTCTACTGTGCTCCAGCCACGCAAGCAGACAGAACACTCCCCTCCCTGCGGAGCGTGGAGGGGTGGACGGGGCTGGCTCGGATCCAAACTGGAGAACAGGAGCAGCGAGGGGCTCCTAGACTCTGAGCACCAGCAGTGGAGAACAGGACTCCCCATGGTGGAGCTCAGGAGAGGAGAGGTCTGCGTTCTACGGAGACACAGAACGTGTCAGGAAACTACAGACAGAGGACTCACAACTCCGGGGGGAGACAAGGCCTGGAGAGACACAGCTGCAGCGCAGGGTGGTGAGCCTCACTTAGAAAACAGTGCAGACAGAGCGGAGAGGCTGGGATGGAGCGGGTGGGAGGGCGCCACAGCCGCAGCAAGGCCTGAGCAGCAAGGAGGGTGGAAAGGCCGGGTAGCAGGAACACAGAAGGTCCCACTGACCCCGCTCCCCCAGGCGCACAGAGATGAGGTCAGAGGCCTGACTTCCGGATCAGCCAGCAGGAAAGTGAAGGGGAACCTGGAAAACCAGTTCCAGGGCAAAGAAGGGAACACTGAAGTGGGCCGCAGGAGATGGAGCAAGAAGCTGCCAACAGCAGTGCAGGCAGCGCCTCTGAGCTTAGGCAGGAAGGGACACAGGGGCAGGAGGGGAGAGGGGAGCTCCAGCAGGGGCAGTAGGAACCACGAGGCGAATGCATATTCTGATGGCACAATCCAGCTGAGAGCAAAAGTGAATCCTGCCGGAGACGAAGGGAGCAGACGGGAGCAGAGGAGTCCTGCGAGCTCCCCTGCAGGGCTCACCTGCTCTACTTTATCCCGCGTGGTCCAGGGCTCGAACGGGCTCATCTCCAAGAGCCTTGCCGCCAAGCTGGAAAAAGAACACACATCACTCTGCCCATAAGATCCACAGGACAAGGGGCTGCTGCACAGGCAGGAATTCACTGACTTTTTTTTTAGAAGGTCTCACTATGTAGTTGAGGCATGTAGCCCAGGTTGGCCTCAAACTCCCAGCAATCCTCCTGCCTCAGCCTCCTGAGCGCTGGGATTATAGGTGTGTGCCACCAGGCCTCCCTGCATCTTTTTAAGAAAATAAATGACATCCTGGCTCGACTACCTGTGAGGCCACACATCTTTTGAGTCCCTGCTTCCCTTCAAGACAACCCAACTCGTGGGTGGAATTGAGGACTCACCCTATTCTCCAAAGAGACAACTAATCTTAAAACTAAACCCTAAAACCAAACCACAAAAAAAAAAAAACTAAACACTAAAATGAAATATTACCAACGATCAACAAAGCAACCCCAAAACAACCCAACACTCAACGAAGTCCGTGAGATCTGACTTAATCTGAGCCTGAGACGTTCAGTGTGCTATCAGTCAGGATGCAGGGCAAGCTGAGCAGGTGCAAGACACACAACACAGTCCTGAGGGCTGCAGCCCTCAAGCGGTGCTGCAGGTCTACGATCAAGTCGGGAGAAGAGCGCAAAGCCCAGGAAGCTCCTGGGCTAAATCACTGCATTCATTCTCCATGTGCCAGGGACAGTGGCCGGTTTTCCTTCGCTCACCAGAGTTCCTGCTCCTGTGGTGAGCAGCCTCAGGTGGTGGAGGACAGGACCCTGGGCCTCATGGAGCCTGAGATCTGACAGGAAGTCTGCTCTGTGCCGCACCAGCACCTCCGCCAGGCAGGCCCTGTTTTTCACCCATTTACCTCCCGGGCTCATGCACAAGAGCTCAACCAACAGCAGGATCCACCACTCTGTGAAAGCTCAAGAAACCTCACTTCCACGGAGGAAATGGATGAAAAAGGGAGCCCCAAGACAGGTCAGAATTTCTCTAGTGACATAAAATCTCTGATTCCAGTTAACCTGTCCCAGTAGCCAAAAAATATGACTTACTGAGCTAACATAACTTTTAACTAAAATAAAATAAAGGAGTACTTTACCCCTCAAAGCCTCCAACTCTCCACTGTTTCCACCTAACAGATCACCTCTGTGCTCTACTCCAGGGCCTTGGGGGGCCATGCCACATGCGGATGCCAGCCCCGACTGTTAAGGCTCACAACAACCTGGGCTACAGCTGCTCTGTGACCTTAAAGCTCCCATTCAAATGACCCTCTTCAGCCAAGCGTGGTGGCGCACGCCTGTAATCCTAGCACTCGGGAGGCTGAGGCAGGAGGATTGCTGTGAGTTCAAGACCAGCCTGGGCTATATAGTGAGTTCCAGGTCAGTCTCAACTACATAATGAGACCCTGTCTCAAAAGCAAAAACACCAAATGACCCTCTTCATCCTCGGGGGCCATCTCTGGGTCCTTTATCGAACCTGCCTTCTCTGCAGCACTGCAGTCACAAATGTTAACAGAGCTCCCATCTGTGCTGGGCACAGTTCTAGATGCCAGAGATGCGGCTGTGCACAGAGCTGCAAGGCTCCTGTACACCCTTCTCCTCAAACTCCTTCCCTTCAGTATCTAGGTTTCCAAGCTCTTCACTGGCATTTAAGTCGTCACCCTCCTTGGTCAATTCCTCTTACTCTGCTGCAGTAAGTGGAGGTTTCTCCAGGCCTCTGCGGCCTCTCTTGCACTCCCTTACACTTTGAACAAACAAACAAGCCTGGAAAGTAGAACAATCCCAGTCACTACCGTCATGCTGCACCCTGACTGTGTGTGTGTGTGTGTGTGTGTGTGTGTGTGTGTGTGTGTGTGTGGTTTTATTAGTGCTGCTGCACACAGGGCCTCACCCATATGAAGCACGTGCCCTTTCAATGAGCTACAGCCCCAGCTACCTTGACTATTTTCCTAGTACCCCTAACAGGCCATAAGCTTTTGGAGAGTTTACTGTAACACCCTGAGTACCTAGAGGGCTGCCCAGTATATAGCAGACATTCAAGAAGTATTTGTTACATGAATAAATAAGGAGTAAATTGCTGTGTTGGCTAAAAATCACTCTGGCATAATGGATGTGAAAATCTCCTTGTTCAGACCATTAGGGTGTGGCAAGACAGGTCGCACACTTTAAACCCACTCACAGAAGGAAGAATGAACCAAGAAACAAGGAAGGAAAAGAAGGCAACACAGGCCAAATCTAAATCAGCCTTGCTGCTTTCCCACTACATAAGCAAACTGCTTAATCAAAAAGGACCCTTCCACCTATGGAAAAGCAGCACCAAACGGGGAGATCTGGTCACTCCATTTCACAATCTGCCAAGGAAGACAATTTTCCAAATTGAGACTCTGGGCATTTTTTTTACACTGTTTCAGCTGTTGTTGTTATGGAAGGAATCAGTAAGTGACACACAGGCAGCAGAATGAAGTAAAATAACAAATTTACTCATCGATAAGGGTCAATCGCACATAAGCTGTGCCTGGATCAATGACACACTGGGTTACAACTCCTCCTTTTATAGGGTTTCACAGCCTTGACTTCATTTGGGTGGTTACATTTCATTCTCACCATTCAAATCATGGTCACAGAATAGTTAATCCTTTCAACACAGATGTAACAGTTCTTTGCAGTTGGGGAGTTTACCTTTAAGATTCGCCTAGTTATCTATTCTAGGCCATATGAAAAGGGTGTTCAGGGTCAGGGGAGTGAATGGTAGCAATGGGTTCTTTCATTTAGACACTTTTACGGTCAGGTGGCTTCAGTCTCTGGGAGCTCAAGACCTTGCTGACCCTGTTATCTCAGGGTCAGACCAAATGCCTCAGTCAGCAATTAGTGCCTTCAGTGCCTGTTAGTTCTGAGCTAAACAAAGCAATCTGCTGTGAAAGACAGCAGAAGCCATTTTATATTATAACACTTTATAGGTTTTTGCCATTTATAAAAGTTTTCCCTATCACTGTTTGTTCTTCACAGAGATCAAACACAAGACCTTGCACATGCTATGCCCCGGCCCAACCCAGTGGGTTTTAGCTGGAGATTAGGAAGACCCTCCCAACCACGCTGATCTACAGCTCCCATCTTAGACCCTCTGCTTCCTCCCCTGCTAACTCAGGACCCAGGGTGCCTCTCATCGGAGGGCTGGAGACTGCTCTGCACATAAGGGACACGCTCCCCGAGACCTGAGGGAAGGACCAGGAGCAAGGTCTCAGGTTAGCTGTTTTCAGACAGTGCACAAGAGGAGCACTGTACTTACCGATAGGCAAAACGGGGTATGGGGTATGGGAAAAAGGGCCTGAAGGCCACAGCATAGATGTACTGCACAAGGTCAAAGAGGAGGTACCGACTGGGCCTAGGGAAAAAGACACACAGTTATTTACATGACAATACTTGCTCCTGGCAAATTTTTGTAATTTAACAAAACTACATCTTTCTTATGAAACAGAAAAAATACACACACTATAGCAAAAACAGATCAGCACAAAGAAGTATCACCCCCAATCTGACTGCCAGGGTGAAGGTAATACATCTGCCACACACCCTTTTCATTCCCTGACATGTATCCCTCCTCTCTTGCATGACACATATGACCTATGCTATAATTTTTAAATTTAACACATCATAATCATCTTTTTATGCCACTAAATATTCTACTGCTTGTTTAATGACTGCAGATTTGTACTGCACATATGCATAATTACTTTATCAATTCCTAGGTTTGGAAAATTTAAGCTAATAAAAATCTTCCTTTATAAATAAATACTGTTTCAATGAACATGTCTGCAGTAAATATTTATATACCTATCCATGATTATGTATTTGGAATATAGCTATAGAAATGGGACTAGATCAAAGTACATTCTGAAATTTTAAAGTTTTTATTGAGTATATCTGAGCTGCCTTACAAAATGGTTATGCCAATTCACATAAAATGCTAGTAAGGCTACCCCGCACCAAAACAAATGTGCCAATCTGCTAGGACAGCAAGGTCCTCTGTTCTAATTAGCATTTCTTTTCATGTGTAAGATTTATTATTTCTTCACATTTCTTGCCATTTACACATTTATTTTCTTTCTTCCTAGAGATTCTGTCCTATATATATATATTTTTTTGGGGGGGGGTTGGGTTTTTTTTTGAGACTGGGTCTTGCTTTGTAGTTCAGGCTGGATCTGAACTCACTGTATAGCCCAGGCTGGCCTCAAACTCATGGCGACCCTCCTGCCTCAGCCTCCCAAGTGCTGGGATTACAGGCATACACCACCACACCCAGCAATTCTTTATATTTTAGCAATATAGTTGGGAACATCTTTTATGATGTGTGTTTTGTCTTTTAACACTGCTTCTGGTATTTATATAATATAAAACTTTAAACATTTTACTTAATCATAACTATTGATTTCTTTTCCTTTATAGTTTGGATTCATATTTAGAAAAGCCCTCCATAGTGGAATAAATTTCCATATATTTTGTCTAAGGTTTTTTTTTTTAAACCATAGTTCCTTCTGGGACATATTTTCCTATATAACATAAGGTGAAGAAGTCAGTGAATTCTTCCCAACATGTCAGCCTACTGCTTTACTGAATCATTTATTGAATGAACCCTTCCCCTTGCATTAAAAATGTCACCCTATCACACACTATTTTCTTATGTATATTTGGGACTATTTCTCCCCATTCCATTGATTTGGATTGCTTTTAATGGTCAAACCTAACTTTAATAAATTATCATTATTTATAATACATTTTCATATCTCCTCACCAATTTTCCTAATCTCTCTTGCCTCAGAAAATCTATGATTACTGAGAGCTGAATGAAGATAATTCAGTGAGGACCTCATCACTGTGACATATTTTACCAAAGGAAAAAAATCCATGAAAATGTCATCATGCGCTACGAGAAATACCATACCAAATCCTTAAATAGCTTCCTTCAAATCCCAGAAAGCACTGCCATGATCACTGCAGGACACAGGACACATGCTGGCCCAAGGTGAACTTCTAATTTTACATTATGGGAGATGCAGACCAAATCCATGTCTGGGTAAGTGAACTAACTGTAGGTAATTTATTTCCTCTCCAGCTGTTCTAAAGCACTATGCATTAGGAGACTCTGATGCAGTAAAAATGTAACAAATCCACGAGGGACTTGTTTAGAAATTGTTGTTCAAACCAAGGCTCTTCGGTTAAAGTCAACCCTAGGCACTCACCCAGCGAAGGCGAAGGTTTTCCCTTTGGCATCTGGATCTTTAACAGCATTGACAATTCCTGTAGCTACATCAACAACCTATAGCAATTAAAACTTACGTTTAAATCACTGTCAAAGGAAGCAGAAAAGGAAGATGCAGAGATCGGAAGGAAGCGGGGAGGGGAGCGGAACACAGGGAGAAAGGAAAGCAGGCAATCCCACCCACGGCTCAAATGTGATATAATTTTAAAATGGCATCATCTATTTTCAGAAAGCATCTTTAAAACCGACCTTCTCAAGAGCTCAATAATCCTCTCAGTCAACCTTCACCTATGGGTCTTTTCTAGTCGGGAGCATCTGCCTTCAGACCGCTCAGCCTCTCTGCTTCCTTTTCCCCTTCTCTCTCCTCTCACCACTCCTCCCACCACAGACTGAACTGCTATATTCTACTATAAGACTCTCAAAAACAGTCATTTTGTACCGATTTAGACCCAAGATTCTCAATCAGGGAGGGATGATTTGGGCCCCTAGGGGAAATTTGTCTATCTGTCCAACTGGAGGTCGAGGGTAGGTCTACTGGCATCTAAAGGACAGAAATGGTGTGAAACATCCTAAAACAGTCACCACAGCAAAGAACTACCTAGCCCCCAATGTCACAGTGCAGCCAGTGAGGAAAACTGGCCCAACCTAAGGGGTCCAACAGGCTGCTTCACCTCTGCGCTCCTCTGAGTACTGTGCCTCTGTGTGAAGTAAAACCCTCCCCCAGCTCCCTTCCTTTCTTCTGAGAGGCCCAAACCCTCTGCTGTAGCTATGCAAGACCTTCTGCCACACTGCATGGTAACCATCCCACTGAGCTGCCTGTGCTGGAGCACAACGAGGAGACAGCAGCTGTCTACCTATCTATTATCCCCACACAAATGGTGTGCCTGGTACGTTAAAGTTCAGGAAAGCTTTCTTAAGTGAATGAACAAGTGAAGACAACACATATCTCCTAGGTAAACTGAGAAGCAACAAGCTGAAGTGTGCGGACCCAGAAGAAAACGATGAGGTAGCAAGAAAGAAGCAGCAGAATGAGATCAGAACAATGACCACCCAAACCCAAATTCTCCCGGTACTTACATACACTGGCTGCTTCACCGTCTTCAAGCCCAAGGAAATAAGAGGCACACCAACAAAATAACGAATGTCTGGCAGAAGAAATGAAAATAATGCTTAGAAGGCCTAAGCCGCAGGTTAAAATAAATGCTGGGCAAAACAGAAATAATGCAAGTGTAACTGACTCTAAGGAAGCTAATGATCCTGGTGAGTAGCAATCATCTGTTTTCAGACGGTAAACATGGGATGTAAAAAAGCCAAACCTTTAAGGACAAAGACAAGAAGGTAGGGGGCTGACATGGCCTGGCAACAGCATCCTATCTCTACTGCCAACTGCATGGTCATGCCCAGGATGGGGCTCGAACCATACTCTATTCTAGGAGGAGCACAAGAATAGACAGATGAGTGATATGGTAAAGGCAACCTAGGAAAGCAGCTCTGCTAAACATGGGAATTTAGTATGAATAGAGCTCAAAAATCAGTGGAAAATGAAAATATTATTTAATACATGGTACTGTGATGACTGCTCTACTATTTGAAAAATATAAAAGATAATGGCTTATTTCTTACCAAAAAGAAAAATAAATCCCAAATGCACTACATGTAAAAGAAAAAATTTAAAGCATCTAAAAGTAGAAATTTACAAAGCATCAAAAAATACTATAATCAAAGTAGTAAAAAAAAATACATTAAAAATTTCAAAATGTTACAAAAAATTTAAAAAGACACAAACAGAGACATCCAAGTGCAAGGACTGGAAGGCTTCTTGTTACAAGATGGCTTACACGGATCTCTTCCAAAATTGAGGCGTTGTCACACAGCGGTAAAAAGAGGTGGGGCCTTAACCCAGGGGCACCTGCTTCAGGAGCAGCATCAAGGCCTTCAGGTCAGAGGCTCCGCACCGATTTACGAGCTCCCAAAATTGTGAGCAAGAAATTCCTTTTCTCTATATATTTTCCAGTCTTGGGCATTTTGTTAGAGAAACTCAAAACAGAGTAGGACAGTATCAATGCTGTCCAAAGCAATTTTTAGATTTCACGCAGTCCTCATGATAAACTCAATGGTGATTTTCACAGAAAGAAAAGTCCAACCTGAATAGCATACGGAGTCTCAAGGGACCCTGAATAGCCAAACAATTGTAAAAAAAGAACAAAGCGGGAAGTCATACTTCTGACATCAATGCTTACTACAAAGCCACAGCACTCAAAACAACTGCATGGCAATCAAAACAGTGGCATGACAGACATGAAATAAAACACAGAAAAATAACCCTCGCATACATAGCCAAATGATTCTTCCTTTTCTTTTACATAAGAGAAGACAATTTATTTGAAGATGGGGAAAGAGGACAAGAGAGATGACAGAGGCTACTCTGGACGACTACGGAGAGTTCCAAATTGAACTGCTCCCAAATGATCTTTCATGAGGGCGCCAAGGCCGTTCAGTGGGGAAGGACAGTCTTCGGCAAGTGGTGCTGGGAAAACTTAACATACACAAATAGAAAAATAAAACAGACCCAACACTGTGCCATAGGCCAGAAAGTCACTCAAAAACGATCCAAATCTAAACCAAAAGCTAAAACCATAAAATTCTTAGAAGAAAACAAAGAGGGAAATCTTCTCGACACTGGAGTTGGCAGTGATGTCTTGGATATGACACCAAAAGTACAAGTAACCGAAGTAAAAGTAGATAAACTGAATTATAGCAAAATAAAAAAATCCTGACTCAAAGGGCAAAGTTAATAGAGTGAAGAGGCAACCCACAGAATAAGAAATATTTGCAAATCATGTGTTGGGTAAGTGTTTAATAATCAGAATATAAAAAGAATTATAACTCAACAACAAAATAAGATAATGAAATTTTAAAATGGCCAAAGGACACAAACAGCATTTCTTCACACGAGTTATACCAATGGCCAACAAGTATGTGTCAAAATGCTTAATATCACTTAATCATCGCTAATCAGAGAAATCTAATTGAAAACCACAAGATTTCCGTCATGGCTAACTAGTGGCAACCATATGTGAGGCTCTAAAGACCTGCTCTGAAACTCAGAGGCACAGAAACGGGCAGTAAGAAAGCCAGAAACAGGAAGACAAACTAAAGGGACAGACGTGAAATAGATATCCCCAGCCCAAAAGGGAGAAATAGGAAAGAAAAAAGGCCAACCAGTCCCAAGCATGTCCTAAATCTAATAAGACAAACCCCACCTAATCCTAGTAAGCCTTATGGCCCTTAGCCCTCTTGCCCTCCCAACCCCGAGCTGACTCTCTCACTGGCCCTCCAACCCGAATCTGTGGGGCAAGACCCATCCCAGCAGCTCCAGGGGCTGTGGAGGGCCTGCCCTCCAGAGACTTGAGGCCTCTTCTCAGGATTCTGGGTGCTCTGGTAGAAGCCACAGGGCATGCGAGACCCAGGAGGTAGCTCTGAACACCTCTGAACCTGTCTGGGGTCCTTCTTTGCTCTTCTGCAGCCTGGCCCTATGGGGGCCTGGCAGCCTCCTTCCATTCTGCCCTTTCTCTGTCCCTCCAGTTCAGAATGGCAGTGTCTGCTCATTCAAGGCCATCTCTACTCCTGCTTCCCTGAGATCGCTGATCAGCCCACCACTCAAACCTACAGTCTCTTTATCGACCGCATCCCTAATGTTCACTTGAAAACAAGCCTTCTCATTTTTTGCAATATGGATCAGCTGTCTATTTCTCAGATCTTCCAGTTCTGGTTACTTAATCCTCTTTCACTTCATCTTTTCCTTTCACATTTATCATAAGCAGTCAGGAAGGGCAAAGGCATTTCTGCAGCACTCTGTGGAGCAATCTTCTTAGCTAAATAACCAATCTCATCACCTGCAAGTTCGTTCTACCTTCTACAGGACCCCAGCCCATAGTTAAGTCAGATCTTTGCCACTTTATAGCACAGTTTCCCTTTCCTCCAGGTTCCAAAGCACCTTCTTCATTTCGACCTGAGCACTCACAGAGGTCTTCCTCTGGGCCATATTTCTAGTACATGCCTCAGAATCCCTCTGTCCTATACCCATTGCTCAGTTCCAGAAGTGCATCTTCATGTTTAGGTACGCATAACATTAGTTACTCAGGTGCGAGGGCCAAAATCTGCCTTAGTCTGTTCAAGCCATCACACTAACACACCACAGCCTACGTGGTTTAAACAACAGAAGTATTTATTCAAAGCTCCAGAAGCTGAGAAGCCCAAGACCAAAGCACCAGCCCATCGGGGTCAGGGTGGGGGCTCTTCCCAGCTTGTGGATGGCCAACTTGTCCCAGTGCCCTCACATGACCTCTCTTCCATGCATGCACAGAGGAAGCAAGATCTTCCTTCAAGGTCATCAGTTCCAGAAAATTCGGACCCCCACCATACAACCTCCTTTAACCATAACCATCACCCTAACTCCCTACATTCAAATAAAGTCACACTGGAAGTTAAGGCTTCAACATATGAGTTTGGGGGAGATATAATTTAGTATAAATCTTACATTGCTTATATTGTGCTACAATTTTAAAAACAAAATAGAAATTAACGCAGAATATCAGAAGACACAATCAGTAGAAAACACATAATACATCAAAACATACAGGCACATCCATACAAGGAAATATCATTTAGCTTTACAAAAACAATAGTTATCCCCAGTACAAAAAAAAAAAGAATGAGTTACCAAGCCATGAAAAGATGTGAAAAAAGACCTTAAATGCACATTGTTGTGCAAATGTCCATCTGAAAAGGATATATACTGTATAATTCCAACTGTATAATATTTCCAAAATGACAAAATTATGGACACAGTAAAAAGTCTGTCAGGACTTTTATGGCAGAAGTGTGTGGCGGGGAGACCAACACATGGAATTCAAGTGAGGTGAGCTGGAGAAACTATTCTGCAGGACATCCCAGCGTCTCGCCAAGCACAGGGCAGGGAGGCCAAGATTTACCCCCAGTCTCTAACTCTGAAGCATGCACTGTTAACCTCCACCTTCAGGGGCTGAAGGAAAATAAGACTGGTACCACTGTAAATCCACTGCTACCACTGATTTTAGCTGGACACTCACCTATTCCCCAAGTAGGAAAGGCCATATGGACTATAAAAATACAGCTTTAAGAGAGAAAAAGGCAACTGAGGAAGAAAACCTTATTTTTTCAAAGCAGAGAACACTATCAGCTTGTGCTGAGCTTTAATGTGATTAACCAGGGTCCATTATTTCCCACTATTAAGAAAGAACACATACTTGCAAAATGATTGAGGAATCGATCCTCTCTCCCAAAGATGCTCGATGGCTTTATGATCGTGGCTTCTGGAAATGCATCTCTCACTTCTTTCTCTCCAACAGCCTGAACAACCAAAAGCAAAACTGTTCTGAGACACCCTATCCTTATAATGTCTGCTGAGGTTCTTTATGTTTTTATTCCAGGGGAGCTTATGCTGAAGAAGAGAGGAAGTCAGAGCAGTGTTTTTCCAGCCTGTTTTTCTTCCTATTCACATGGCCTCCAGTCTGAGCCTACAACCTAGCAGCCCGCCAGAGAAAGAACTGTGGACTATAGTAACGGAGGTGGCAGAGGACACACTGACCTAGAGTCGGCCCCTGGCCTTCCTCATCAAGCAGCTGTACAGTTCTCACCTACTCCCCCAGCAGAGCCTGGTGATACCAAAGCCCAGTGGGTGTGCCTCTTGGGCTTCTGAGCCTCTCCAAGGCCTCCCCTTCACCCCTCCTCTGGCACTCAGCTCAGTGAGACAACAGATCTCACCATGACACAAAGGGCCTGTCAGAACCTAAATGAAGACATCCTGCCCTCAGATGACGACCCACACACCCAGCCTGCTCTCTGCTCCTGGGGTGCCTGCTCCTCGGCCTTCTAAGGAACTCTGCCCACTGATTCTGCTTTCCCCCACGGACTCCTCCTGCCTCCCTGGCCTCCTTTGAATCCCGGATTCGATTCCACATTCATCTCTTACCTACTGCATCCTGTGAATTACAGGGCCTGTGCCTTTATCCACACCAGGCCAAATCGTAATCTTGCTTTCCCTCCACCATCTTTAACAACTTGCAGAAAATAAATAAATACAAATCATAAATTGGTGCCACCATAATCCATGCCACAGATTTTAACTGGGCTCTGGTTTTTCCCAGAAATGCTGTTTTTCTCTAATTGATATAGTCTCCCACATAACAATTTCAAGGCTTTCCTATTTTATTCAAATTTCAGGCTTTTCTCTCTATCCCCTTCCTTCCAGTAAATGACTTTACCTCCTAAACATAAGATAGCAGAAGAAAACCACCTCAAGTCCTCACCACTAAATTATAATCACAGGTGTGTGAAGCACCAGTTTCTTCCTTTCCTACCACAGAGGGGCAGAGCCATATCCTGGCTCTGGCGCCCCCTCCTGAGGGTGCTGGACCCACTCCTCCCACCTCCTAAGGAACCTGCCCACTTTACCATCTGTCCCTATGTTCAGCCTTGCTCTCCAGCAACACCTCCCACGGCCATTTAAACAATGGAGATCCTCTGCTGCAAATGTGTGAAGAAGGTCCAACTCCACTTCCCCTCCCAGATTCTATCCCTCTGCTCGTTCTTCCAACCAACTACCTGCAAACGTACCTCCCTTCCTGGGCCGCTGCTCTGCTCCAGCGCACCCGTTCCTTAACTGCCCTCTGGACTCTGGGTCAATGTATGCACCGAAACTATTTTTGACAAGGTTACTTTGACGAGATGACCTCACCGCCAACAGACCCAAGACTTCCCAGCTCTCATTCAGCTTGATGTCTCAGGGACACTGGTAAATAGCTTTTCCCTCCTTGTGACACTGTCTTCCCCGGCTCCTAGAACGTGCAGCCCCTCTAGCTTCCCTACCTTACCATACCCACTCTGCTCAGTGCATTTGTCATGTCTGGTTTTCACACGTGCCTCCTCTCCTATCAGAGAACAAATCACAGTTGTCACTCCACACCCAGTTCAAAGTCCTCTTCTCAACCTACATTTACTCATGAGGACATTTTGCTACTCTAATTAACAACAGATGGTGGTTGATTTCCAAATGTATATCTGCAACAACCCAAACTGTCTTCTAAGCCCATTTCACCACAGCTACTTGAATGACTGATACACACCTGAAACCCAAGTCAAACACTGGACCATCTTCTACTCCCTCAAGTAAAATGGGCCGCAATCTTTGCGGCTCTTGGAATAATCGAGAGTTTAAAAAACTACTACTATTCATGTTTCTCTCCCAGAGATTTTAATTGGTTTGTGGTACACCTTGGGCATCAGGAATTTTCAAGTCTTCCCCAGTGATTCTAACTGGAAACTAAGGCTAAGAACTCTACCCCAAAAGTCTAGTTTTCCTCAAGTATCTACATTACCACCTGCCCAGTGGCTTAAGCCAGGGAGCCAGAAGGCTTTGACACCCCTCTTTATTACCACTAACACCCCAAGCCCTTCTAACAATCATGAAATCCAGATTTTAGTGCTGGGGCAGAGGCCAGCATGAGCACCCTTGTTTTCATTTCCTCTCTGTCTAAGATGCCTGGGCCCACCTCCAGCAAGACAGAGCTCATGCAGAAAGCAGCTAGAGGCCTGTTCCTTGGCACCAACCTCTGTGGCTGAGGTATTCTCAATGGATCTCTTGACCAGGGGAACCTATAAACGCTTTATGTTTAAGCCAGTTCACACGGGCTTCTCTGCTGCTAGTCATGATGTGTTCCCAACAGGCATCCTCTTGCTTATTATCTGCTCCTGTAGTGCAGTTTGCCACTTGGTGACACCTGGTGCATCCAGAATTCCATTCCCTGGGGAGCCAGACCTAGCTGTGGACTAGGGCCTGGACTGCTTTACTGGCCACTGTATCCCTAGTGCTTACCAGAATACAAGGCACAAAGTCAGTGCTTAATAAATAGTAAGTGAACACAGTGAGTCAAAGAGCCAGAGCCATTTTCAAGGACTCCACTGCCCTCACCGGCATGACTACAGATGGGTTAAGGATGGCAGGAGACACACGCTAAGGGCAGACCAGGCTCTCATTCTTCCTATCAATCCCTGAGAACAAGACACCAGGAACACAGTGGCCAACCTTGCACAAATCTGGACTCCAGTGTGGTTTCCCGGAGTACAAGAAGACTAAATTCTGTGAAGAGCCATTTTCCTTCGCAGATATCTGTCCCTCTCAGGTTCAGCCTTCACATCACCTATGGAAGAATGGTATGAAGCTGTGGCTAGGCAAGAAGCCGGAGGAAGAAAAATGACCCTTTCAGCACAGCAGGTGACCCCAGAATGCTGTCTGTGTCCTTCTGTCTTAACCCAGAGCAACCTGAAGTATCTGAGGGCAGGTAATAATGCGGACTGCTCACTTGGGAAGCCTCTCAGAGCAGAAACAGAAGGCGTGTAACTGAAACGCCAGAACACGGCCCACACACACCTCATGTAGGGTATGAAGAACCCTCTGAATTCTCAATACACTGCTGAGAAGCCTTTCTCACTTACATCACACTTCAAAGGAACCAAGAAACTCTGGCTCTACAAGGCACTTGCCCGATGGACTCCTTAGTTACCTTATTTCTCAGGTATCTGGAAGAGCTTTTAATGTCAGCATTCAGATGAGAAACATGAATGAGTTTTTCAACTCCAGCCTCCTTGGACACTTGAGCTATTGCTTTGGGAATCTTTACAAAAACATCCTCAAAATCGAAGTTTCTAGAAGAAAACATAAAGGATTAGGTAACACCTCTGACTCAGAATTTCAAAGCTTTTTGTGATATGCTCATTTTCACAATGGTGGAATTCATAGCAAACATTTAAACAGTCGTGCTTTAGTTCTAAGTCAAACTTCATGTTTCTCAAAGTTGACAGGCAGGCTCACTGTCATTACTGTACCTAATACAACTCTACATTATAAATCCATCACAGGTAATATTCTGTGTTCTCAGGAATTCTGAGGGTGAGGCCCTTTAAGGAAACCTGGCTTTCCAGGCCTGGTGGTGCACGCCTATAATCCCAGCATTGGGAAGGCTGAGGCAGGAGGATTGTCATGAGTTCAAGGCCAGCCTGGGTTACATAGTGAGACCCTGTCTCAAACAAACAAACAAACAAACAAAAACTTGTTGTGTGGTTACTGATGAGGAAGGAAGTGTTGGGAGCTGGAAAAGGAATTATTTCTCACCCCCCCACACTTTATTTCCCTTGAAGGTAAAAAAGAAACTAAAAAAGAGCCACCAATTCAATGCCTAACATTAACTACATTCACTCTGTACAAGTCACTGTATTAGTCAATACAGAACATATAACATTAAACAAGAGCCTTTATGGCATTAAAGACCTTGGAAAATATTTACTGAAGCAGACATGTACAAACAAATCTGATTCAGCCTTTAATAAAAGCAAACAAAGTATGGAACTATAAAAGAAAAACTTTATTTGTTGATAATCCACAGGAAGGCTAAACAAACTGTTCGAATCAGTACTCTCAACATCTTCAATGACGAGTGTGCAGAAGGGGTCGAACACTGTCCACACAAGGACAAAGTTCCTTCAGTGAACCAATGCACAGCTTGCTGAGCCGTGAAGTAGGCAAAATCCGACCTCCTGACCCCACCCCAGATCAACAGAGCCACGCACAGGTCCAACTCCGGTCCTGCTCAAGGTGTTCACACCAAGCACACGGACAGACAAGGACCACACGCTGCCATGTCCTTGCCACGCCGATAGCTACACCAGCACATCGCACTGCTGCCTCATAGCACACACACCCCGACCCAGCAGGGCAGTCACTGGGATGTGAATGGATGCACAACCAGCCCCTACTAATGATCCCATGAAAATGGCACTACAATGCCATGAGATGTCTACTGAGCCCCACAGACTGATGCAAAAGAAAAAGATGAGCCAGAAACTCACGTGGTTTCCCAGTCTCGTCCGACGAGATTGATGACCAGGTTGCTGTGCTGCACTGCTCTTCGGATAGACTCTCTGTCTCTCGCATCCCATTCCTGTTAAATCACAGCCGCCAGTCAGAGGATAGTTTGCACCTGTATTGTCTTACTGCAGTGCCTTTCACACAGGGTCCACAGGGCACCACTGAAATGCCTCCGAGGCCTTGGACTCTGCAGATTCCAACCTCCACAGCCTGAGAGGTTGAAGCTGTTTACTCAGGTAACCAAATAACAGGCCTAGAAATGGGGCTGCTTGTATTAAAGGAGCGCACTTACTTCTGTCCACCCAACTGCCCCTCATGTTTGCAAAGGAAACCGGAATGCAGCCAGAAAGCAGATCATCTGGGAGGGAAACAGACTTCCTCTTGCTGGCAGCAACCAGTTACAGACTAAAGACAGGAGGAGTGTGTTTTAAAGCCTAGTGTCAAATTGGGTTATTTGTGACTACGAATCTCTTTATTTTGTTTAATTTGTTCCTGTTTTATAATCCTAGACTTACTAATTTCTACTTTGAAAATATGAAAAACTGGGCATGACAGCGCCACCTATAATGCGAGCAATCTGAATGGCTGAGGCAGAAGAATTACAAGTTCAAGTCCAGCGTGGGCAATTTAACAGCTTAACCATCTCAAAATAAAAAATAAAAAAGGACTGAGGATATAGTCTGAACGCTACGTGCCTGTGGATGAATCAATGCACTAGGAAGGGGAAGGAGTGGAAGGGGAAGAAAGCCAAGGGTTGGGGCGATGGAACAGACAGAAAGCGGACATGAGTGTACTAAAGTCTCTGCGCAACCTGGGAAGGAGGGAAATCAGCTCCGAAAACACAAAGATGAAACCCTAGCAGGAAGAATGGGTTAGAGCTGCTAACAGACGGCAGAGCATAGGCCACTGTACAGCCCAGTAGTGCTGGAGTCACACAGACAGAAATGCAGCCCCAGCTTGCTGTGTACTAACACTGTCAAGCCCCATGTAACGTGAGAAAATGCAACCTACCTGCGTGGTGGATGACAGGAAATATAACAAAATCCGCAGCAGCGAGGGAGGTACTCAACAAACACCTAGTTCATACATCAAGAGTTGAAAAGGCTTTTTCAGAAAAGATGCCAAGGGCGGGGGAGGAACCAGTCAAGATGACTAAGAGTAGAAGAGCTAGAGGCATAACTGCACCCAGTTCCCCAGAGCCCAAAGGAAAGACCAAAAGGAAATCAGATCATCAGGGAGAAGGTCCAGAGGGCACAATAAACCAAGGGGTCAACTAGATAGCAAGTTGAAACAGGGACTAAAGCAGGGAAATCACACTCCACCCAAAATGGGCCTCCCTTCTCAGAAATAAACACTGAACACAGCAATACACTGAGTCCCCTGTGGCATGCTCAGAGTTCAACTCAATGCCAGACACTATCTGCAAGAACAGAATAAATGTTATATGGCTCAGTTTTGGGAGCCCACATCTGCCAGCCAGTCAACCGTTTTACCCAGCACTTGTGAAATACTTTACAGACTCGACGGTCAAAAATGAATGAGTCACACAGAAGCAGGGGAAAGTCAAGCTCTTACAACAATAATAACAAGAAAATGACAATAAAATTTTAGAAAAGAAAAACTTTAGAAACAAGAAACTTCTGATATAAGTATATTGTTAGCTTTTGAGCACTTAGTAAAGAAAAAGAAAATACCATTAAAAATAAAGTCCAAATTTACAGGGGTTTCAAATAATCTGTATGAATACCATGTCAGAGATATCAAGGATGTTTACCTAACATTTTTCAAAAGAAAAAGCATGTAAGTGGAAACGCTTAGCTCCATGGTAAGAGTAGGAAGCTGCTAAATGTACAATGAAGCCAAACATCGGGCTAAGAAGGCACCAACTAGTAGAACAGCTACAGGTATTTTTGAGGCAGCACAACTCTGTGGGGACGCCACAGGGCAGCTAAAGCAAACCCTTAGAGACCCGCCCAAAATGCTCGTGACGTCATCGCCCAGAGCCACTACTTCATTTGGAGCATGCGCACGGCCTCTGTGGAGCTATTTCTGATGCTCAGGAGACGCTGGGGTGCCTTGCCTCTCGTGCCAACAGAGGAGGCTCTGCATGCCCCCTGCGGCACTCATACCACAGGTTCACCATCACTGCCGTAGAGTATTTAGCATCCTCAGCTTCTACCTTATAGATCAGTAAAATCACTGTGCCCCAAAGGAGCCCAACATATTTCTAATCGCTGGCTGAAAGGCTCTCCCTTCTCCTCTGCCTCTGCCTCACACTACAAGCACTACTGGCCTAAAAAAGCTGTAGATTAAAGAGTAGCAACAGAGAATGCTTGTAAAGCACTGTTAGCAAGCAAGCTAAATTATAATGCACTGTTTATAACTGTTTTCTATGAAAGTACTGTTCAACAGAAACAAAACACAGATGTAATTCTGAATTTTCTACTTTCTTAATCTACATCCTGAATTTTCTACTAGGCACATTTGCAAGAATAAGAAGCAATCCATTTTAATAATATATTTCATTTAACTTGAAATATCTAAAATATTATTTCAATATGTAATAACTAAAAATGATATACTGAATATTATTTTATTCATACTGTCTTTGAAATTTATATTTTAGGCCCACAACACATACCGATTTAGGCGTGGCCTATTTCAAGTGCTTGATATGTGGCTAGCAGGTATCACACCAGACAGCACTGGACTAGAGCAGGAGTTAGCAAGCTATAGCCTTCAGGCCAAAAAATGTGGCTACCACTTAATTTTGTAAATAAAGTTTTATTGGCACACCCACTGGTTTATATACTGTCCATGACTGCTTCAGGGCTATAAGGGCAGAGCTCACTAATTATGACAATACTCTATGACTGTGGAACCTTAATTTTTACTCTCTGGTTCCTTACAAAAGTTTTGCCAACTACTAGCCAGGCACAGAGGTGCACTGTAATTCTAGCACTTAGGAGACTGAGGCAGGAGGATCACTGTGAGTTCCAGGCCAACCTGGACTACAGAGTGAGTTCAAGGCAAGTGTCTGAACAACATAGTGCAACTTTGTCTCAAAAAGCAAAAAA